TGGATGGATGGATGGATGCATGGACATATGGGTAAGAGGAAGGAAAGGCAGATGGATAGTGGGTGAACATAGGGATGGATGGATGGATGGATGAATAGATGCATGGGCATATGGGTAAGAGGAAGGAAAGACAGATGGATAGTGGGTGAACATAGGGATGGATGGATGGATGAATGGATGGATTAGACAATGGATATAAAGAAGAAAGAATACATGGGCAAGTGGACTGAAGGAAGAAGGAATAGAAGGAAGAATGGATATATGGATGAATGGATGACAGATGGGAGAATGTGTGGATGATATGGATAGATGGACAGAAAGACAGATGGGTGGACATATGAATGATAGATGAAGATAGGGGTAGAAAAAAGAATGAATGGGTAGTCAAGTGAATTGAAGGAAGGAGAAGTATAAGGAAGGAAGGAAGGATGGATGGATGGATGGGTGGATGGATGGATGGATGGATGGAGAGTGGGTGGAATGATACAGGAGTAAGTGGGGCAGATGGAAGGAAGGAGGAAGGAAGGAAAAGAAAGAAAGAAAAATGGATGTAAAGATGTATAGGTGGGTGAGTAGGTGGATCAATTGCTCAGCTGGTAACAAATGATGGAAAATAAATGAGAGGGAGGAAAAAAGAATTGATGGGTAATAATAAGTGATGGATGGATAGGTAGGTGACGATGGATGAAAGGAAGCAATGGTGCTGAATTGATTAATAGATATTGAATGGCAGGCGGATTGGTGAGTGAGTAAGTGAGTGAGTAAATGTGTTCATGGGTGGATGGAGAGGATAGATGGATAGATAACTGAATAACAATAGGCCTCAGCCTAACATGAACTTAGTCAAGGTTAGCTGCCTTAGTCCTTGGAAGGAATATCTTTGGGAAGGATCTCACCTGGAAGGAGCCCAGTCCCAGCTCCAAGGGTAGGCGGATGCCCAGGCCAGCACTGTCAGGCAGGAAGTTGAAGATGATGTAATGAATTCCAAACAGCGGGATAAGGAGAAGTGTTGACTTGGAAAGCCGCCTTGGAGAAGGCAAATTCTAGATTATGAGGCTGCCCACCATCATCTACCCTGGAGACTCTGTCCTCGCCACAAATCTCTGGACTTCTTTCCTGTAAGGCCATCCCACTGTGGTAGCCAAACAGTTATCCCAGCTACTCCAGAGTCTATATACATCTTTCCAAGTCTGGTTCTTCCAAGAAGCCTTCTCCAATTCCCCTTTGACCCAACTAGATATAATCTGCTTCTCCAGGCCCCCTTAGAAACAGATGAAGCGTTTGTCAGCCATTTGCCATTATAACTGGGAGTTTTGTGTCCCATTTTCAAGTACTGTGATCTCATGGGAGGCACGTGTCAGATCTGTTCTCTCTCTAGGCGACATAGAGGAAAGGACAGGACCAGGGTAATAAATAGTTGCCAGATGAGACAAAAAGAAATGCCATTTTGCCAAGCGCTTTTCATGAGGGTTCCTCAAATATACACCACACAGAGACACACACAGAGAGACACACACGCATGCACACATACATACACACACGCATGCACACATAAACACGAACACATGCACCGTACCAGTACTGAGCCCGTGTGTGGAGGCCTCCCTGTGCAGGCTCTAGCTTCCTCAGCAGGATGCAAATTATATTGAGAAACAACCCAAAGTTCACCTGGAAACGAGGCACAGGAAACGGGGTGCAAAGATCAGAGGCAGCACTAGGTGGCCTAGGATTGGCCCCAGTCCTTTGGTGACTAGGAACCTCAAGCCCATGGGATGCAAGTCAGGGGAAGACTGAGGGCTCCCCCTCCCTCTCCAGCCCTGGCTGCAAGGATGAGAGTCAGGCCTAGCTGCCTGTCTCCATCCACCTCAGGGTCACTTGGGTATCAAGCAGCTGCCCATCACTGGGGCAGTTTCTCAGCTGGGGCGAAATCCCGCATTCACGGGACCAATGCACGTCACATCAGGAGCAGCTGAGTGCTCACCTGTAGGTGTCATCCCAGCCCGAGATGCTCTGCAAGTCAGCCACATGGAAACCAGAAAACATGTCTAGGAGCTGACAAACCTAGTGATTACGGCCCAGAGAGGCTGCCAGAGAAGCTAGGTGTCAGTTTCCTGATTCCCTTCGGGCCATCATGTTACCACCCCTGCAGGACCATACAAAGAAACCTGGAGGCTGTCTGAATAAGGCAAAGGACAATGGCCTCAGAGACTGACCCCAACAGAGAGGACTATGGGCCCTTTGATGATCCACCAGTAGGGGGAGCTGTCGTCTAGGTCCCAGCACCTGGGAAGAAGACAGCCTGGGCTTGAAGGTGCCCCTTTTCTATAGTGATGACGCACCTCCTCAAACAAACATCCTATGGCTTCTGGGAGCATCTCTCTTCTACTGCTCAGAGCTTCAACTTCACTCCATCTCCCTCTGGCCTAATCTTCTGTCTTAGTCTTTCCACAAGAAGGCCCTAGTAAAGGCTGGCTAACGCTTGTCATCCTTGTCCAGACATTTCCCTTTCTGTAAAAGGCCTGCTCAGAGCTGGTATCCGGAGATACAGCTCCGACAGCCTCTCCTGCCTGAGCTCCTGCCTACTCCCTGCTACCAACAGCCTGCCCACCAGCGACACTCTAAGCTAGGGACTCCCTCCTCCTCCTCAGATGATCTACTACAGTCCCTACTGACAGCTTGGGGGTGAGGAAGTTGCTCTACTCACGCAGTGTCCTCGAAAGCCAGTTTGCAGCCCACCCACGTACCAGTGCATAGCACAGGGAGCCCTGTGGGTGAGACAACACTGGGGTGAGTGAGTTCCCTGCGCTCTTCACTTTGAGTTTAGCCTCCACCTCCCACCAGTCTGTTAGCCATGGGCAGAGAGTAATAGTGGGGACCAGGCAATGGCTTGGGGGGGGGGGGGATCTGATCTACCTCCCAGTGCTCAGTACAGCACTGTGGCATGTCCCTCCCCCCACCCGGGCCTCAGAGTCTCCCACGATGAGAAAGGCCTCTCTATGAGCTCCCGGGGGCCTTCCCAGCCTCTACCTCCCCTATGGTGGCCAGTGACCCCTTGATGCTCACCCCAGCCAGCAAAAACCAGCCACCAGAAAGCTGGTTTGCACCTGGGGGATGTGGAGGCCAACAAGCAGCTCAGGTAGACAGCTTCTGCCAGCAGCCAGCTGAAGTTGGTCATGGTGGCAAAATGAGAGACGGCCACGGAGACCTTACACAGGATCTGGAAGCAGGGAGCTGGTGCTTCAGGGCTTTGGCTCCCAACGGATCTCTTTCATCCCATCAAGACGTCAAACCCTCATGTCCCCTCTACCCTGGCCTGAACCACGCCAGTCCTTGGGCTGCCCCAAAGGGAATTTGACAGTATAATTGTGATGGGCAGAAGACAGACAGGTTGGGTTCACGTGTGCCTTCTGTCAAACACGCCGATCACCTCAGCCCCTGTGTTCTCTGTGAAAGGAAGAACTCCAGGACTCTCAGGGCCTTGTCTCGGGGCCACTAAGACCTGCTCTAGTTCTTCTGCCATAAGCCTTTCCTAAGCCAGAGTTCCTCCTTAGAGTGATAGCCATGGCCTCGCTGTCCATGCACAGCTTTGTTCTGGGAATACAGGATAATCTCAGCATGCATGCGACCATCTATCTGCCTTGCTCCCTCTCCTACCTATGGGGGCAACAGTACCAACTCTGAGCCAGCCCAGCTGCCCAAACTCTATCTATTCCCCAACTAGGTGACCTGGTCAGCTGCCCCTTGTTAGCAAAACTGGATTAAAGTGGGGCTTTCAAGGCATTTTAAGATCAAAGGAGATAATTCATGTGAAGTACTTGGTGTGCTGCCCGGCCTAAGTAAGTGCACAGCACATTCAGTAATTAATTCATTAATTAAACCCGGACACTTGTTGATCTGGGGAGTCACTTGTCTATTCATTTCCAGAGCACTCTCATGTGTTGTGCCAGAGCAGCCATGAGGTCACCTCCTCCTTAAAGCCTTTTTGTTCTCTTAGTTCTCTGCTTTCTCCATGCACTGGTTAGTCCCCAGATCTGGGTGCTTCCTGTCCCCTAGGTGCTTCTGGAAGGAGGGACTGAGCTCCACCTGGGTCCTTGTATACTCATTTTTAAAGGCAGTGAAATAGCTGGCCGAGCACGGGAGCTTCTGTGGCCAATTGAAATGGGAGCATGGATGAAAGAGGAATGGGGGCCGTGGGGTGGCCTGGCAACAGGGAGCAGCTTAGATTGGCACTGCAGCCTTTGAATATGTGGGGAGAAGCTTGAGGCTTCCTTCAACTTGTCAATGGTCATGAGTACAGGGTCAGCCTGTGTGGCAACAGGCTAGGCAATTCAGGCCTGTCCTCTGTCCTCTGCCCTCTGCCCTCTTCCTCCTGCCCCAGCCCCTCCAGCCAGGGCCTTTACAGTGGACAAGCCGCAGTGGTCCGTGCCATCACCCTGGAAAAGGGCAGCATCCTTCAGGAACACAGCACTGGCCTTGAGGATGAAAGTGACAAACAACTGCATGTGGATGTAGTTCCGGGGACAGTGGAGCCTTCTGGAAGGGACAGGAGAGATGAATCAAAGGGTCTGGCTGCAAAAGAGCTTCCTGGGGCCCGCAATAGGCCTGGCATGGCTGGGAAGCTAGGTAGAAGTGAGCAACTGCAAAGCAGCCAGTGCCACATCAAATGAAATCAAACCCAAAGAACCAAGTAGAAGTGAAGTGTGCTAGTCTGACCCTGAAGGTCATCTGGCAGCATCCTCCTGGGCTAGGTTCAAGTACAGGAGCAAGGTAACTACAGCCCCACCTTCAGACAGCTCTGAAATTGTGGGTGTAGAGGCAGACACAGCCCAGTATGGCCTGAGGGGGCCTCTAGATATCAGGGAGACACAGTCCCACGGGGAACTCAGCCTTTGACAGCTGGAAGCCATTACACCTAGCAGTAAGGGCTGAGGGTGGCCTTGGTGTTAGAGCCTCTGTGGGGGACCCTGGATTCAATCCCCAATCCTGGAAACAAAACGAAAAAGCACTATAATGCTCAGAAGGCTGCAGACATCAAAGAGTATCATACAGGGGCAAGGAGGATTCTTAGAACCTAAGGAAAGCTGAACTTCCAGGGTTGGCAGGAAAAATAAAAAGAAGGCCCTGGAAGCAAACACATTGAGGTCTGTGTGAGCAGAGGTGTGTGAAGAGATGAGATGAGATGGCCCACACATTGGGGAACAGGCAAGACGTCAGCAATGAGCATCTCACCTAGCTCTGAGCCCCTCTTGACCATCTAGGCAAAGAACTAGCCTTGGTCCTGGGACAAGAGGGAATCCGTGAAGGTTACTGAGCAAGTGACAAGGGTGGCAAACCTGAGAGCAACCAGGATGGCAATAGCCATACAGAGGGCTACAATGGAGATGCTGTGGCCTGTGGTGTAGATGATCTTCACCGTAGAGAAGTAAGATTTCTGAGGACAAAAGAAAGGTTTGGCAGTCAAGCAGGTGGTCTGCGGCTCCACCTCCCGGATGCCCCTTCCCGGATGCCACAGAAAGCCCCGTTTGGGCACTGAGCCTGAAGGAGGAAAAGCTGAGCATTCACAATTGCACTGGAAGTAGGGAGAGGGGGCAGAAACCACCTCCCCGGGGAGTAACAAAATCCCATGAAAAAAAATTGGCTTGTTTATTGACACCAGCGAGCTACCCATTTGAGAACACAATCACCCCCAGATAAAGGTGACATCCAGGGCACCAGGAACAGCCACAGGCAGACAGGAAAAGACTCTTTGAGGCCCAAGTGTTTAAATCAGTCAGAGCTGGGGTGTAGAAGGGCAAGGGGCTGTCTCTACTCTGCCTCTGCTGTTAAGGCAATCCCTGCCTGAGCCGCTCTGGCCTGTATCTACATCTGAAAGACAAGCACACCCGTACTTTTGCTCATAGGACTGAAGAAAATGGAATTGTGAGTGTGGATGGGTCTTGTGAAGACCCTGCTCTGTGGAGAATGTGGGGCATGCTGCACAGAGCCAAGGCTCTCTGTAATGACTACATCCTTGAGTTCCTCCCACTTACCCATGCCTCAGCCCTGTACGCTGTCCTATCGGCTGAGGACCAGAGAAAAGCAAGGGCTTCTTGCTTCGCGAAGCCGGCAGTCTTTGCTTTCTCTGAAACAACTAATGACCCTACACTGGAAACTGAGAACGGAAAAGGCTGGCCAAGAGGAGAGTGACCCCAGCTTTCAGCTGGACCTCTGTGTCCCTTCTCCCTCAAAGTAAAGTAACCCGTGTCGAGTAAAGGGACCGTCTTCACTAGGCACTTTACTGCCATCTGCTGGGCAACTTCTGTAACTACTATGCCCACATGACGGCTACAGAGGGAATGGCAGCCACCTACCGAGATAGTAATCTACCACCTTTACCAGCAGTTGTGGTCACCTTCCTCGAAGATAACAGCCGCTTACCTCCTCAGTTAGCAGCTCCAAGGGCACAGGGCAGGCCACGGAGTATGGCGGGAAGGGATCAGACCAGCCGGCATTAGTACAGTCTCTCTTCACATCCCCTAGGGGCAAGCAAGAGTCTCAGCGGAAATTCTCCCCTTCCCAGGAGATGGTGGAAGGGCCCTGGTTGTCAATCAAGTGTTCCAGTGAGGTATGCACAAGGAGTTCTTAAACAAGGGGAGAGAAGAGTCCTCCTCTCTAGAGACCAGGGTTCCAGACCAACCTGGTCTGCCTCTGGCCTCCAAGAGACCTGTTGAATAGTATTCAACTGAGGAGCACAGAGCAGAGAATGATGGACCTCTACATCCTAAGGGCAGGCACGAAGAAAACAGACACCCTTTGCCCCATATGAGACAGGAAGGCCTGGCAGTGAAGTGGAGATACCCGGGCCCCTCATCCTCCTCAGCGTGGTACCACCTCCTGGCAACAGCCAGAGAGCACTGGGAGGGTGACAGCCCCACCCCCACCCCATTCTCTCACTGATCCTACACTGTGAGGTTGGAACTATCATCCTTATTCAAAACGACTAAAAATTTTCAGTCGAGAAGAGGGAAGGTGACGCTTAAACCCAGGGCGTCTGTCCCCAAATCAGTGATGTACCACCCAGAAAGGATCACCTAGTCCCCACCCTGGCTATACCCAGGCCACTCACCTGGCTCTGAGCTGAAGTGAGAGAAGAAGTCAGGGCAAGGGAGGGTCACCCACTGGCCAGAACCTGTCGGGGGCCAACACAGCAGCCCATCCCAGGTCCCAGGGCAGCCTAGGTGGAGAGAAAGAAGACATGGGGTGACCAAGAAAGGGAAGCTGATATGGCATTCTGAAGGGTCACCTGGAAGAGATGTCAGGATCAGGGAGGATCCATCCCCTATCCCCTCATACCCAGGGAGGTGTTGTTGGTCCCCTCTACCACCTGAAGGCATGCAAGTTCATCCTCTCTCAGCTGAGTGATGACGTCACATTCCGGATGGAGGTGACCCAGGGCCTATGAGAAACAGTGACAGGATGAGCCAAGCCCACTGGCAGCCTCGAGTTCTCGGGCTCTAGTGATCTAAAGACAGAGACCAAGCTGGACACATCTCTGTGCCCGGATTCTGAGAAAGGCCCATTTGCCCCACTAGTATCCAGGCATGCTTGGTGGGTAGTGAGGCATGAAGGAGTGGGTGGGAAGTAGAGGGAAACTTCAGAAAGAAGAGAGGAATGGGGGGAGAGCAGAAGAAATGGAAGAGGAAGGAAAAGAAGAGAGGGGCAGAGAGAGGAGGGAAGAAGGGAGGGTCAGATGCACTTTTCCATTTCATGGCAGTGAGGTCTGAGACAGTAAAGTATCCATCTAAAGATGCTACAAAATATGACAGCGCAGTCCATAACATGGCCTCTCTTCCTCCCCACCACCCCTGCTCTATACTTCTAGGACCTGGGAGTGTTTCTACCCTGGTGAGTAGAACAATGGTTCCCAAAGAAGTTCATTTCCCAATCGCAAAAGCCCAACCCAACCAAGGAACTTAGCAGATACGATCTCCAAGTTTTTGGTTATCTGAGGGGGCCCAGAGTCATCACAAAGGACCACAAAGACCAAGTCAGAGAAGAAATGATGGAAAGAGAGGGTGGATGGAGCTACTGCGCTTACTGGAGATGAAGACATGCCTCAGGCCAGGGAAGGAGATTCTAGAGACCACAATCCTGCCAAGCAATTAGGTTTAACATGTTGGCTTTCTGACGTGCCTCAGGCAAGTTACATGAAGAAATGTGTAGACTAGTGAGTGGTGGCGGATCCAGGTGGCTGGGAGAGCGTGAAGACAATACACCTGAGAGGTAAAGGAATGATGGACAGGAAGGAAGGAGGGCCTGGGAGAAAGGAGACTAGCTGGAGGGCCGGTGGAGGGAATGAGTGTTCAGACTGACACACAGACAATGTGATAGGAGAAGATGGACACACAGGATGCATGGAGGTACGGTGAGTGATAAGGGCCCCGTGTCAGGGTGACTGAGTTGATCATTAAGTAGATAGAAGGCGCTGCCTTCATGTGTGACTCCGTGATCATAAAAATTGCAGATTGGGTATCTACTAGAGCTTGGGGACCACGGGAATGGTCTCTACGTTCTCCTGGACACCTCTATTTCTGAAGGGTGATTCTGAGGCCATCTGGGGCCCAAGTGCTTCAGGTTAGGCAGAGATCTGGGCTATGTCTAGGATTTGGCGTTTAAACATTTCTTTGGAGAGTTAGAATTTCTAACATTTCTCAAGACTTACCCACATGCCCTTGCCAGATCACACACACACACACACACACACACACACACACACACACATTCTTTTCCTGACCTGACCAAGGTGGTCACCTCAAGGTTTGGGAGACAATAGATAACTCTGTTCCTTAATCTGGTATCTACCCCAGCTGTTGAACAATAGGTTCCAGTCTAGAGTTCCCTCCCCCAACTGAAGTTTTCATGGTGCTGTGTACAGAGGAGAGTATGAGCCCTTTTTGCTATTAAGGGAGCTCATGGAAGTTACCCACATGACACTCACATGCCAGCCTGTGGCAAGTCAGATCACTCATTCCCTACCCCCTCCCTGAGGCATGGTAGTCCCATGGAGGCTGCCCTATAATTCTCAGTGTGGCCCAGACTAACATCAAACCCATGGTAAGACTCTTGCCCTGCAAGTACCAAAACTACAGATATGAGCAAGTGCCGAGACGGCAGGTATGAGTCACCATACCTCACTCGAGTTTTTCTTTTTACAGCCACAAATGAAGGCTCAAGTGTCACACAGTTCACTTCACAGTCAAGATGCTGGCATCTTGAGTGAAAGGCAATGAAGTACTAGGATGGATGGTCAACCTGAGAAGGCAGTAGAGGAAGAAGGCAGTCTTGGTCCCTACTGCTCCCACTAGGGTCTTGTGACTCCTCCTTTCCTGCCCCTTGATGCTACTTTCAGTGACCCCAAAAGTCTGCTGGGAAGTTGCAGCACATCCAGGGAAGCCTCCTCTCTTGGCTGACCCACACCCTGGCACACAGGCCAGGGAGCAGCGGCTGGTTTCTAAAGCCTCTCCAACCCTAGCATCACCACAGGAAGGTTCCCCCAATGCCACAGCTGGAAGAAATAACTCCTCAGACCCCACAGGGACCCCAACTTCACAGGGGCCCTCGCCACACTCCCTTCAAGGAAGCATCCATGCCAGGATGGCTGAGGAGACAGGACAACGGGAGGATGAAGGAGTAGGGCCAGCCTGGAGGCGTGTGGCTTAAAGAAGGGGCAGGCTCATGTGTGACAAGGCGGTCCTACCTGGCCTCAGCTATTCCAAGACAGAGTCTCTGGACATGTATCTCTGGGGCCCCCAGAGAACACAGATAAGACATGGCTGAGGAAACAAAGAGACAGCTCACTTCCGGGCAGAATCTGAGACCAGTCAGGGGAAGGAGGTAGCCGACAGACTCAGGAGTTCCCCAGCCACAGTCCGCCACCACCCAGTGGGAGAAACAAAAGGAGGCCTGAGCTGGCTACTCACCACTTCCAAGAGGTTCAGCAAGCAGAGAACACAGGTACCCCACAACAGGCGGTCCATGGCGGTGATGTGCATGCTCAGTCTCAGTGAGCCTTGGCCCTTCCCTCCCACACTGTCTCTGCTAATGCCACCTAGGTGCGCCTTCTGTTGCCTCCCCTTCCCAGGAGCTGTGTGGGCAGGGCCAACAGAAGGGACACCCAGCTGAATATTGAGCAGAATGGTGGGACATTGTGTTACTGCCAGCCCTAGATAGTACTCTGTGTCCTCGGAGGGGGGTAGCTGAGCTCTGGTACACCACCTCACTCTATGTCTGAGTGTACCTGTTCTGACATCAAAAATCCAGAGGACACAGACAAGATACGAGAGAGGCTGCAACATGGGACACTGTTCTACTTAGTCAGTACGTGTTCCTGTCGTTTTCTGAGCCTCAGTGGTCTTACCTGGATGGTCCTAGATCTGCATCAGAAAGAAGGGACCTCCTACACCTGTATCAGAATGAGGGGACCTCACAAAATAAGGTGATCCAGATCTGCCTTTAAGGAACCCCAGATCCGTTGATGGCCCAGTCTCTTCTATGGAGGGTGGAGGGTGAGCTCAAAGCTGAGGGAACCCAGAAGAAGTGGGGTAGGTGACAGTGGGGCCTGGAAGGTCTAAATGAGCTTCATGAAAAACGACCGTAAGAGTCTGAGGGTGCGGCTCAGCGATAAAGCATTTGCTCAACGTGTGTGAGGCTCTGGGCTCAAATCTCTGGCCCCACGAAACAAGGAAACAATCACTAACCACAGCTTGGGCAATCCAAGAATGTGTCACATTATTGACCTGACAGGGACACTTCGTGAGGTGCCATCTGAGCATCAAGGCTCCCAACTTCACCTGGGGCTAAGCAAAGCTTCCCAACACTCCTCCTGTCCAGAGATGACAATGAAGCTAATTAGAGGCCTCTCAAAGGGATCCCTGGAACTGGGCCATTCAACAGGGGCAAGACATCCATCTTCCATTACAGAAGTGAAGAGACCCACTCAAATTGTTTTGACTTTAAAATGCAAGCTCTCAGTTGTCCAGACTAATAACAGTGTCCTAAACCAGACTAGATCTTGCTGAGCATTTGGAAATTAAAAGTGAACGTCACCTTTAACAACCCTGAATGTTGGGGGACTTGTGGGGTGTTGATTTCTGAATGGCCACCGCCATTTACAGAGCTGCTGCTGGGGGCACCAGATGTGGTTGGTTCTAGTGGATTTGTGTCATGAATGTGGAAAGCTTCCCGCCACCACATCTGCATCTAGGAATCATCTGACATCAGCAAGGCTTTATTTTTCCACTCTTACTCGTTGTCAACAAAACGCTGAAAATATTTTCTACACATGTCGCCCAGCGTGGGTGGTGCGTGGCTGCTCCCTGGCAGGCTAAGGAGACTCAGGCAGGAAGAAATCAATGGCTGTTGTAAAGACGTGACTAAAAGGGGGCAGAGGCTACCACACCAGAAGAAATACATGAATGATGGTGCTTCGTAATTAGCATCGCCCCCTATCAGCATTAGCGGTATTAATAATCTATACCAAGAATTCACAGCAGTTCATATTATTTAAATGAATGGCACTTAACAAGAAACTTTGCCCCCTTGGAGACATTTAACAATGTCTGACAGTATGTTTTACGGCCACAAGCAGGGGCTGGGCCTGGGGAGAAGGGCAGCCAGGTGTGTGGTAGGGAGCTCCCGTCGCCATGCAATGATCCACCCAGTCTGAAATGTCAGCAGGACAAGACTGAACTAACCCCATGTTTGTGCTTCCCATGCTTTCGCCAGGACAGTCCTTAGAACACCCTGGTCAGCCTGATGTCGTGTACCACCCAGGGTGTGAGTGCCCACCAATACTTGCTTGCTGCCGTTCATCTTGCTGAGCATTTGTTTCCCTACCTGTAAAAATTGGGGTGCTCCAGTTAGGGTTACTATTGCTGTGATGAAACACCATGACCAAAGCAACTTGGGGAGGAAAGGGTTTATTTCGCTTTCACTACCAGGTAACAATTCATCACTAAGGGAAGTCAGGGCAGAAGCTCAAACAGGGCGGGAACCTGGAAGCAAGAGCTGGTGCCAGAGCATGAAGGAGAGCTGCTTACTGGCTTGGTCCCCATGGTTTGCTCGGTCTGCTTTCTTATAGAACCCAGGACCACCAGCCTGAGGGTAGCACCACCCACCATGGACTGAGCCCTCCCACATCAATCATTAATCTAAAAAGTGCCCTACAGGCTTGCCTACAGCCAGATCTTATGGCAGCATTTTCTCAGCTGAGGTTCTCTCTTCTCGATGACTTTAGTTTGTGTCCAGTTGACATAAAACTCTTCCAGCAAATAGGGTTAACACTAGACCCTTTTCTATAGACACAGACAAGGAAATGCAGGAAGAGCCTCCCTCTAGAGCCTTGCTCTCAATAGGCAATCACCAGCATGTCTAAGAACAGACCATCAACAAAGCTAGCACAGCAGACCCTTTGCATCAAAAGAGTTCAGATCTCCGGCTCACAACTGTGAAATAAAAATCTGAAAATATTTAAATCAGGCTGGAGAGATGGCTCAGCAGTTAAGAGCCATGGTTGTTCTTCCAGAGGACCTGAATTCAATTCCCAGCAACCACATAGTGGTTCACAGTCATTTATAGTGAGATGTGATGCCCTCTTCTGGCATAAGGTCAATAGAGCATTCATATACATTAAATAAATAAATAAACAAATCTTTTTTAAAATGAAGAAAGAAAATATTTAAAGCCCTAACTATAAGATGGTGGAATAATAAAAACTTTGTGAAAATGGAAATTCATTACATGATCTTATAATAAGAAGACTTTCTTACACAATAAAATAAAGCTGTAAGGGGAGAGTCTGTAAGACTGACCTCATGAACATCCAGATAAGCACATGCTCTAGAAAGGATGCTGTGGATGAAACAAGTTCCACACTAAAAAAAAATAAATAAATAAAAATAAAAAACAACTTGCCAACAGCACCAACCAGAAGATGCCTAGCTTTCGAAATACTTATTAACCAGTAATAAAGGGAAATGCAACAGAAAACTGAGCTAACGATGCATACATACAAGCAATTGAGAAAAGTAAAACATATATACTACCGAACAGATGAAAAGAAAATATGTTTAACATTGATAGTATTCAAGAAATGAAAAGTACTAAGATACCCCTTCTTTACATTATCCTAAACTTATTTTCAGTCTTTATTTTATTTTTAACCTGGGTATGTATTGAGGGAACAACAGTATCCATGGAGGCTAGAAGAAGCCCTTGGGTCTCCTGGAGCCAGAGTTCTAGGTGGTCACAAGCCTCCCAATGTGAATAGTGGGAACCAAACCTGGACCTCCACAAGAACAATACACATGTGCTCTTAACCAATGAGCCATCTTTTCAGTTCCAGCTCCTTTTATGTTTAATAATGTACCATTATGATGATGTGAGAAAACAGGTACCTTTACACTGTGGTGTGTGTGTGTGTATATGTGTGTGTGTGTGTGTGTGTGTGTGTGTGTGTGTGTGTGTGCAAATAGATGAAAATGTTATTGAGCAGCTCTAAAAATAACTTGGTACAACCTACTGACTCTATGACAAACATGTCTTAAGAGTAAGAAGTTCTATTTCTTCATATTTTTATTTTAATAAAAGGCTGCTTTAAAATGTAAACTATCCACATAATGGGAATTTATATATGATTGTAATATATGGATGTAACACTCAACTACTTCTCCAGCACCTACCATGCCTGCCACCATGCTCCCCACCATGATGATAATGGGATAAAGCCTCTGAAACTGGAAATACCCCCCAATTAAATGCTCTCTTACTCTCCCCTCTCTCGATTCTCTTTCTCCTCTTTCTCTCCTCTCTACTCTATCTCCTCTCCTCTCTCTCTTTCTCCCCTCTCTCTCCAGACAAAGTTTCTCTGTGTAGCCCTGGCTATCATGGAACTCATTCTGTAGACCATGCTGGCATTGAACTCGTAGAGATCGGCCTGCATGTGCATCCCGAGTGCTAGGATTAAAGGCATGCATCACCAATGCATGACTAAAATGCTTTCTCTTATCAGAGTGGTCATGGGCATGGTGTCTCTTCACAGCAACAGAACAGTGATGAAACCATCAGCACATTAGCCTTTGATTTGACAGGAAAAACAGAAAATATGGAGGATGAGATGGAGGTGTGTTGTCTTACTGTTTCCTAATACTTGAAGGAGATAAGAGAATGAGAGTATAAGTTATATATGTGTTAAAGAGCCCTTTTCAGAATCTAAAAGTGAAGAACTGGACAGTGAAAAAAAAAAGAATGTGATAGAAGTGGTAGGAGATATGCCTTGGGTTCAATCTGCAATGTAGATGAAGAGAAAATCCGTGATTCAAACACAGATGGGAGCCTCAGAACAGTCAAGTATGGGAAATCGATAATGAGGGAACGTTCAGCATCTGAACTACTTGTACCACAAAGGACTCAAACAAGAAGCAAAAGAGTCTTTCATAGACTAACAGGCAAAGCTATGAAACATGGCGGTGCATAAGATAAGTCCAAGAGCTAGAAAAACAGAAAAATCCAGTAAGATACAGAAAATACCCATTCCTCAAGGAGACAAAGACTGAGGGAATATGAGGGAAACCAATCTCCAACAGGCTGGCACATACATGGAAGCCATGACTCAGGAACCTGAAATCAATCAACAACAGGCTGGCACATACAAGTCACAACTTGGAAACTTGGTGAAATTCTGAGGCCCAAGAAGACACTGAAACTTACAAGATTTCCAAGTCCCTGCTCAAAGTGATACCATCTAGGGGTCTTGATCAGGTTCGTTTTCTCTATCAGTTGAAGAATTCGAGGGCAGAAAAAGTCTCAAGCATGATAGGTAACAGCTCAGGGAGTTGCTAACACAGCAAATAGGAGCAGAGAAAATCAACAGCTGAAGGAAGGCTTTATTGAGGATCAGCAAGCACACACCTACAGCAGGCATCCAGGGGAAAAACCTCCACAAAACAGAAGAGACACTCAGGAATCCAAAACATAGCTTCTCCTTGAAGGCCAGGAGTTTCTAAAGTGTGAAGGGTCTTCCTCCCCTATTTAGGCTCAGTTGGTTTAAAGAAA